CCGGGTCCTGGACCGGCGGCAGGGCGCAGGCGGCCAGCTCTTGCGGCGCCGGCCCGCGGGGCGCGGGGCGCTGGGCCAAGCCGTCGGGCGCCGGAGGCCAGGGCCGTAGCAGCACGTGGTTCTTGTAGAAGAGGCGGCGCAGCAGCGACTGCGCGAACTCCAGGAAGAGGAGGCGTAAGCTCGCCCGCGGGAACTGCGCCGCGTCCACCGCCAGGCGGCCCGCCGCCGCCGCCTCCTCGCCTTCCTCGGCCGGCTCGATGTCCGAGTCCTCCTCGGCGCTCCCGCCCTCCGGGCCGCCGGCCCCCGGCTCCCCTGCCGCCTCCCCGAGGGCTCCCGCCGCCGCCGCCGTGACTCTCGCCACCCCGTGGGGCCCCGAGTCGCCGACCAGCCCGTCGCCAGCCCCGGCCGCCAGGGCACACGCCCCCGGCACGCCCACGGGCCTGTCCAGGCCACCTGCGGCCAGGTCTCCTTCTCCTGTGGCAGACATGGCGCCAGGCGGTACCTCAACTGGGGTGGCGATCAGACTGTGGCGTCGACAGCAAAGATGGTGGCCCCCGAGGTGGCCGCCGCTGAGGGGAGGCTGTGGGCAGTGGGGCCCGGCCTGAGGCGGACCGACGGGGCGGCAGAGGAGTGCGCCGCTGAGGGGACAACAGTCTGTGGGGTGCCCGAGGAGGCCCCAGGGGCGAAGGGCAGGGCAGCAGTGTCAGGAGAGGCGCCTCAGACGGAAGCGGACAAGGCGCGAAGAGCCTGCAAGGCAGGTGACGGGGGCGGGGCCAGAGGTCAGAGGGCCACGCCCCCTCACCATGAGCTCCAAGCTCATTTGCTGAGAAGAGGGGATCGACATGCCCTGTGTCCAATGAATAACCAATGAATGACTCAGGTTCTAAGATTGCTCACAATCACCTCCCTGTTCTTTGAGGCCTTAGGGTCCTGCGCTACCTTTAGGTCCATTCAACTCCTATCCTAATTTTGCGATTGTCAGCACAACTATAGCACTTCAATGTATTGACAACCTGGGTTGGGGAAACTTCTTCTGTAAAGGGCAGAAAGTAAACATTTTGGGTTTGGGGAGCCCAGAGGTAAAATCCAGACCATTATGTAGGTGCTTATATTAACAAGAGAGAGAACAAATGTCCAAGCATATTTTATTGTTGAAACTAAAGATATAATAATAATTGCATACAATTTTTTCAATAATATAGGACTATTAATGAGAAGAATGGAATTCTTTTGGGGGAATAATACTCTGCTTAATTGGAGTTCAAAGTTAGTGTTCTCGAAATTGATTGCGTATGTTCATCTGTTTATCTGTAATGAGGTTTTACATAGTTCATCTTTGCAAATGTCTTTTCACACAGATATTGGAAAATATTGATATCAATCCATGAAATAGGTACTTCTAAATACTGATATCAATCCACAAGCATATGATTTTAATTGAGCATATTCGTCTCTTGGAAGACATTTAGAGAATTCTATTAGATTGTTTTCTTGGCATTTGCCTTTTAGCATGTCATTACATTGCAGATTAATCACTTCCAACTGGAGTTTGTGTGGAAGCTCCTCAATTGCACAGTTAGGTGGGCTTGAAGTATTGAAATTTCCTTTGTACTTGCACAGAGATCTGAAAAAAAGCTGCTGGAACTCTAGTCTGAGCTTGGCTATATATCCACTGCAAATTTGTGTGAGAGTAGAGATTTTGCTTCTTATTTTACCTTTTGACAGCATAAGAAGCATATAAAGCAGCCTGACATTACTTTGATTCAAACAATGTTAGTTGTCATTGAAATGACTTTATCACAGCATAAGTTTTGTACATAAGTACTATTTGCCTTGTAATTTTAGGTTGAATTCATTAAGACATGTTACCAAACCTATAACAAAAGCTAATTTCCAAAGCCATTCAGTGTTCAATATTAACAATTGAGGGAGATTTTCTCAGTCAAAAATAATTCAGAGGCTGGCCCGGTGGCTCAGCGGTTAAGTGCACATGTTCCGCTTCGGTGGCCCAGGGTTCACCGGTTCAGATCCCAGGTGCGGACATGGCACTGCTTGGCAAGCCATGCTGTGGTAGGCTTATAAAGTAGAGGAAGATAAGCACAGATGATAGCTCAGGGCCAGTCTTCCTCAGCAAAAAGAGGAGGATTGGCGGCAGATGTTAGCTCAAGGCTAATCTTCCTCAGAAAAAAATAATAATAATTCAATCTCCACCCTGAGCTCAAAAAAAAATCACACACACACGCACAAATGCACACACCCCTTTACCACTGCGAAGCCATAGAATTGCTGTGTAGTTGGGAAATTCAGGATATCTAGCTTGTATTTCTGACCAAAGTTCACAGAACTGCAATGGTTAAGTTCATGAAAGTGAATGAACTTCCCCATTGACACTATTGGTTTAATAATACATGAGAGATTCAGATATTTTCTGCAGTGTAACTGGTGATAAATAATATAATGAATAACTGTACAAATTAAATGCCTTACATTTTCACAAGTTTTACATATTTGTTCACTAACCCTTTTTCTGTTCCATGCAGATTTTTACGACCATCAGTTGTAATACATCTTAGCAGATTCCACTTCAGGTTATACTAAGTTAGTGTTTTTTTCAGCTTCTTCAAAAATATTCTCCCTAGAGTTGTTCCATGCAGACTGTTCACAGATACTGATTCTTCAGTCACTTTAAACTCAGCACTGACTCCTCAAATAAACAACAACCACCTAGCAAGATTAATAACATCTGTCAACTCATGAAGCTACAGGACATACACTCCAGACTCTAGGCATTCAATCATTCACCAGGCATGTACTGAGCACTCACTATATGCCTGGAGTTGTGCTAATGAGTTCCCATCCACAGATGCATAAGACTCATGGCTTGCCCTAGTTCATGGTCTAGAGGGGAAGACAGACACTTGGACAATGATGACACAGGTGTCAAGTACTAAAACAGGGATAAGCATAAAGTCCTATGGGAGCATGGGAGAGAGAATGATTAGCTGGGGGGGGGGAGTGGTGAGTGGTGGGTTGGTGCCTAAGAAGGTATTCAAGAGGAGGCATTGCACCTGGATTCTGAAGGATCACTGAGTTTACTTAGCAATGAAGAGTGGCAGGGAAGGGGGAAGAAGGAGGTCACTGCAGGTAAAGGAAATAGTATGCATAGTGGAAGAGGTGTGTATGCGTGTGTGTGTGTGTGCATGTGTGTGTGTGCACCTGTCCAGGAGATGAAATGACTACAGCATGGGCAGAGTGACAGATGGGACTGGAAAGCAGATTGAGACCATAATTACTACTACTAATAATTAATTATTACTACTAATAATTATTACTAAGAAGGTCTTCTGCCTCCTATATGAGCACATATTCCTCTTTGCGTCACCATTCCCTTCCTCTCTTGCCTAGCACAGTGCCCTCCCATCCTCTTCACCTCCTATCCAAACTGATCTCCTTTGTTCTTTAAATCATACATTTACATATCTAACAAATTTATTGAGTAACTTCTGATGTACCAGTGCCATGTCCCATTGGAACTGTCACTTGTACCTGTTCTTATTTGACACATGAAACCCAAAGATGGCAAAATCATCCATAGTACCTATCCTAGTGCCTCCCCCACTATCGTTCTTGTGTCCTTTGGGGGGATTGCCAAGACCTCTGGAAACTAGGCCCTCCGGCTGCACACAGTGTTGTTCTGATATATTTGCCAAGACTCTAGTTTATACTCAATCACATCCTCTCCAGTTGCCTCCTCCACTTTTCAGCAGGGCTGAAACAACATGATGACTGCTGTCAATTATGAAGTCTCTGATAAAGAAGTGTGTGCCTGGAACCTCTTCTTTGTGGAAGAAGCCAGGGCTGGGCACTGGGCTTGCCATGGAGAAAGCGTTGTCATGGAGCAAGCTGTTGTCAGGGAGTGAAGAGGACCCAGGAGGAGATGGTCCTTTTGTAGTGGCAGTAAGTTACGTCCCCAGGTGGTTGGCGTTGGCACCATGTCCTTGGGAGGGAGAACTGGTTGGCACCAGCAAACAAAGGAGAAAGGAAAAAACTGAACGGATACGCCTTCAGGAAATAGCTGAAATGAAACTGAAGGAGAGTTTCCTCCAAGCTCCAACACTGGGACTCTCTTCATGGCAAGGACATGGCCCAGAAGTCCATGGGACAGTCTCCAGGGCCTCAGTCATCTACGTGAGACTGACCGGGGATGCAAACACATTCAGGAGGTCACACTCCCTACCTCTAGTGGGCAGTTGGTGAGTGTCCTCCATCTCCAGCCATCCCATCCATGACTTCTGATTTTTTCCAAGCCAAGAAGTTGGCACAACCCAAGATTTCAGATTTCCTTCGAAAGAGATGCTCTTTCCCCACCCCACTCCCTCTGTCAGTCAACAGAAGTGGCCAAGTCCTTTCCCGTTGCAGATGTGCCATCAGGGTCAGGGTGCGACAAGGAGAAGGACCGAAGGCCACAACAACTTGAAGAGGTTCCCAATTAATGCTGGGCAGGACAGGGAGCACCCCTGGGAAACCAATCCAAAGCTTTCCTTTACAGCCTGGCTGAAAACTCACAGCCTCCCAGAAGCCGCCTTTTCTCTATCTGCTCCCTCACCCCATCCTCCAACCCCATAGGTTCTCCTGAATTACAGTGATATGTGTGGACTTTGTCTAGCTCCCCTACAAAAGAACAGGCCTTTGAGGGAGAGCGTCCAGACCTTGTTCGAGTTTGTAACACCCCTGATGTCTTTGCACAAGGTGGGCATTTGATGAACGTCCGTTGACAGAATCATAGGAGATTTGGAATCACTATCACCATCAATGGTGCTTCTCCTCTGCCTGCCTAGGGCTTGACTGTCTCCAAAGGGCCTTCTCATCCCCTCTTCCTTTCTCTCTTTGGATCCTCTCCATGGCTCCCATGAGGTTTCTGCTCTTGTGGCTGGGTGTGATGCTTGTGGTGCTGTGATGCTGTGTATGATGAGGGATTGCGCCCCCCTAGGTGAGACCCTGCCCCACCCCCCCACAGAGAGTGACCTGGCCTGTTCCTGACCTCCTAGTTCACCCTGTTGCAGCCAGACTGGGCTGTGGGTGCTCACTGAGGAGAGCTCACTTCCTCTCCACCTCAAACCTTTTGGTGACTCCACCGTTCAACACCCAAGCCTCTCTGTTTCTTAGCCTCCTCGTTTCCCGTGATTTGTCATCTACCCTACCTTAGCCGCTCACTCCCAGTGCCATGCCCAGGGTCCCAGACCTTTCTTAATGAAAATCTACATCACTTCCAAAAATCTGAATTTCAAGGATTCCACACTCTGACCACCACCTCTTTTTATTTTCCAGTTCAGTCCACTTGTCATTATGGTTCCCAGTGACCATCATGTGGTCAAAGCCATGGAGTTTTCCAATTCTCATCTTCCTTGATCCTTCAGCCACAGCTCTCCACACTATTCTTCCTGAAACAGTCTCCTCTCAGGACTTCTGTGGCGCCACAGTCTCCTGGGGTTTCTTCCGCTTTGGTCACTCGCTACCTGATTCCCCCAAACTGGAGTTTCTCTGGGCTCTGCTCTGGGACTTCACCTCTCCATTCCCTTTCCCTCCTTTGTCTGATCCTTTCTCATGGCCTTAAACATAACTCAAATGATGGCAATTTCCAAATTGATATCTCTGACCCAAACCTCTCCTCTGACCTACAATGTCCTAACAAACTCTACTTGACATCTCCGCTTGAATGTCTTACAGATCTCTCCAACCTGAAATGGACAAAATGGAATTCTTGATTTGCTCCCCGTCCCTACTTGTTTTTCCTCCTGCTTTCTCCATCCTAGGAAATAGCACTTCCACCCACCCAACTGCTCTAGTCAAAAACCAGTAGCCTTCTTTAATTCCTCTACGTGTCCATTCTATCTGTCAACTGAGCTCCAAAATCTCTCTTAAATTTGTCCATTTCTCACCTCTTCAACTGCTACCATCCTAATCCAAACCATCATCATCTCCAACTTGAGTACGCGATAGCCTCCTAATCCCTGAAACCCTGTGAATATGTTAGCTTACATGGCAAAGGAGAATTAGAGTCACAAATGGAATTAGGGTTGCTAATATTGGAGGTGTCTTGCTAGAGTGATTTTCTTAAAATATAACTCAGATTCTTTCACTCCTTCTGCTTAAAAAAACCTTTACTGGATTCTCATGGATTAAATAAGATACAAACTCCTTAATCTACCCTATAAGACCCTGTGTGATCTGGCCTCTGCCTGCCACTGGTCTCATAGTTTCTAGAACACATGAAGTTCTTTCCTGCACATGCAATTCCATCTGCTTGAAGTCAGCCATGGGGAGAGTTGAAGCAGAGTCCTTACCCCCTGCTCCCATGTAAGATTGTGCAGATTGTTCTCTGCACAACGGTATCCAGCTGAGATATGGCATGGGCTGAAATCTGGCCCACAATCTGCTGGTGGAGCTGTGTGCCCTGGTATGGGGCTGTAATTGCTAGGGGAAATAACTTTATCTTTTGACCCCAAAGTACCAGTGAGCACTTAGCACAAGTCATCAGGGCTATGCGTGTTCAGAGGGGAGTTAATTTGCCTTTCGGAACAAAGGCACTCTGTGAGCTGGCAGAAGCCCTGCTTCAATTCTTGCCATATTGGCTTCTTCTCATTCTTCAAGTCACAGCTTCAGCGTCACCTCCTCAAAGAGGCCTCCTCTGACCTCGGTCATTTTCTGTCTCAGCACCATGCCTCTTTCCTTCATAGAACTTAACGCCATCTTTAAGTGTAGATTTGCTTGTCTGTCTTCCTCACTATAAGCTCCTTGAGAACAGAGACCTTGTTTGTCTTATGCGGTACTGTATCTCCAGCACCCAATACACAATCACCCACTGAGAAGTGGCAGTTGATGAGAAAGAATGAAACTCCTGAGGAGAGAATGCAAAAAGCAAAGAGAAGGTCTAGGTTAGCACCTTGCCTGGGTGCCTCCTGCCATCTTTATTGACGTCAGGAAATTTCTCCCTGCCATAGGGAAAGTGCAAGTTTGGCCAGCAATTCTCAAATACAGCA